CATATATATATATATTGGTGATAAGCAGTTTCTAACAACCAGATTCACTAGAGTTGATAATTATATGGAAAGGTGTTTTTCCAACTTTATAATACCCATAACCACTTTTAAAAAGTTTTTCCAACAACTTTATAAATAGTTTAGCTTTTGTTTTGTTCAGTGAATTTGTGGTATACTGTAATTTTTTTTGCAGGGATTTGAGAAAATTGTGTTCGGTATAAAGAACTATAAATACAATGTAAAGTATGAATGAATTTGAAGTTTACGCCGTTGTTCATTTTGGTTGAATTTAGAATTTGGCCGATTTGATAGAATTTGAATTACATTGTTTATATAAAATGCTATAGACAAGTTGTTGCAGCCCACCTCTGCCAGCTGTTGCGGACCGCCAGTTGTTTTCGTCGTCTGTCCACTGTCTCCCGTTTGCCATTGCAACCCGTCGTTCGCTAGCCGCCGCAGCCCTCCACGGTTCGCTGTCGTCTCTTCATTTGTCAGTCACCACCCGTCGCGATCGCCCTTACCACGGGTCGCCCGCTACCACTGGTCGCTCGATGCCACCTCTGCAGCTTACCACCTACCGCCGCCATCTCCAGTCGTTGTCGTTGTCGTTGTTCCCCACCGCTCCGACTGTCCGCCGTGCCGCACATCAGTCCATCTCTGCAGGCAACTTGCCGGCCCACCCTCCTCCCCCTTCCACCCACCGGCGCAATTGGCTGAAAAATATATTTTGAAATACATTGTTTTCAATCTCTTTCAAACCAAATAAGAAAAATATGAAGTCCTACGTTTATTTTACAGTGAACAAATAACTCGAAAGTATTTCAAAAATTTTGTAATCATAGTTCTCTTCAAACCATTTAAATTACATTTCATTTTCATCAAACCAAACAACCCCTTAACAAATAGTTGTAGTCACTATGAATGAGCTTGAAATATCATTTTCCGTTCTTCTTGAATTGAGTTTTTACTAGTAAAGGCTATGTCATCTACTTTATAGATTTCATTAATTGAAAAGCAACTTCAGATAGTTTTGATCTGACACATAATGGTTTCCTTTGTTCATTATGCAAAGGAACTTCAAGAACTCTATTCAGCCTTGGAAGAAGCTAAAGCAGATATTGTGGGCCTGTGGGCTCTAAGATTCCTCATCAACCAGGTCAGTAGCTTTCATATAATTTGTGCTAATGCTCTATTGTTTTATTTATTTTGCTTGTTTAAATATCCATTTCAGTTTGTACATGGGGCTGCATTATGCAAATTACGAGGTTGTTCAGTATAATTTTTAATTACTCAGGAACTGCTCCCAAGGCACTTATTGAGATCCATGTATGTTTCTTTCCTTGCTGGATGTTTTCGTTCAGTGCGCTTTGGATTAGAAGATGCTCATGGGTAAAAATGTTAAAACTATTCCATCGAATTTAAAATTCTTACACCAAGAGAAGTTAACTTAACTGAAATTGTCATTTCATTGAATGGACGCAGAAAAGGACAGGCATTGCAATTTAACTGGTTGTATGATAAAGAAGCATTTATTTTGCAACCAGATGGTACTTTCTCAGTGGATTTTGAAAAGGTGTTCTCTGTTTTCTTGATTTTTCTACACCTTTAACCTCCTGTGGATTGAAACTGACTCATCAGTTTTTTCAAATGGCATCTTCTTGAAGGTTGAAGCAGCTGTTGAGGGACTCAGTAGGGAAATCCTAACAATTCAAGCCAGAGGTGATAAGGCTGGTGCAAAATCTCTACTACAAGAATATGCAAAAATGACGCAACCACTGTCTTCTGGATTGGAAAAACTGGAA